ATCTGGCGAATTTTGGCTTTGGGGCATTTCAGGTGAGCACAAAACTTTAATTAATTAACTAATTAATTGATTCATTAATTTCATGTAATTCATTAATTTAAGGTTATATTTTAAGTTAGCTCTTAAAAATTAGCAGTCATAGAGAATACGAATCGCAGGATTTATCTTTTGAAGCCAGCTCAAATCTCAGTTATATATCCTCTGGATAATGCCCAATATGAATAATACATCGGATAATGAGTCTGTTCCGTTTCGGTATATCCATATCCATCTATATCCACGTCTATATCCATCCATATCCACGTATATCCATGTCTATATCCACGTCCATATCCATCCATATCCACGTCCATATCCATCCATATCCATACTTATATCCATCCATATCCATACCTATATCCATCCATATCCCCGTCCATATCCACGTCTATATCCACGTCCATATCCATGTCCATATCCACGTCCATATCCATGTCCATATCCACGTCCATATCCAACCATATCCATCCATATCCATGCCCATATCCATCTATATCCACGTCCATATCCATCTATATCCACGTCCATATCCATCCATATCCATCTATATCCACGTCCATATCCATCCATATCCACGTCCATATCCACGTCCATATCCATCCATACCCATATCCACGTCCATATCCATATCTATCATTATATCCGCATGATCTCAATACCGCACACACACATTTTGAAGGCTATTCAACCATTATAATAGTGTCGAGTTTCCGGCTCAGTTAAGGCTTAGGTTCGGCCTGCCTAGGCTAGCTGGCTGGCTGGATATAACTTCCGGCCAACCGGCTGGCAGAAAGCTTGCGAGCGGCGGCTGTCACTAATATGAGAGCCGTAGCCGTGTCTTTGACTAGTGATCTTTAAGGGCTTATTAAATGTGGACAGATAGTCGGCTTGTTTACTTGTTTACCTGTTTACTTGTTTACCTGTTTACTTGTTTACCTGTTTACCTGCTTACTTGTTTACCTGTCTATCCTTTTATAATGTTACTGTTATTACTGTATATTACAGTACCATACAGTACCGCAGCGTACAATACAGTAGCCCAATGAAATCACTCCAATTAGCAACCATTATATTACTGTTTAACCAGGCGATTCCAAATCAAATCCTGGATTCTACTTTGATTTAACTTACTAAAAAGTAAAGAATAGTACTGAACTGAATTACTTTATATTCAGTGATCACTAAAATCACTGATCTCTGATCACTGCTTCAAATTTCCGATATGATCTCGATAGAATCTTCATTAAATCGCCGATTTCGATCGATCCATTTAAGTTATCGATATCTTATAGTGATATTACTCATTACTATTATTACTGTTTAATGTTTACTTTATTTTATTTAGCCTTTATCTGGACTCTTAAGCCGCTATCTTGATTCTATCTAACCAAATCATTAACAAACGCCACCACCATATAAGATGTTAGTGACATTGGCTGCTGAGTGAAATTTGAGACGGCATTTGGTAATTTGAGATTGAATTTGATCTTAGGCATGAGTTTCGATTTCAATCTGATATATTTGAGTGGAAAAATCACAAATGGCTTGATTGCTGGATTGATCTTGTATATCAAAGGCAAATCTATTACTAATGTAAATATAAACGAGTAAATGTACTTCAAGCAGCAGCAGCATTAACATCTGCCGTCTGTCATCAGTGGTTTGGGCGTATTGCGATGGTGGTGGGGTGGTTTAGTGGGTGATAGGTCTTGATTTTAATTTAGATTTTTAGATTTTAGTATTCGGGTGGAATTGAGATCGTAGACGAAATAGTTACTTGTTTACTTGTTTACTGTTTACTGTTTACTGTTTACTTGTTTACTACTTTACTTATTTACTTGTTTACTGATTTTAATTCAGCGTTCAGACTGAACGGGTTTTTTAGACCATAATCTTGATCTCGATCTTAATTTTAGTCTTAATCGTGATCTTAGATCTAAAATTGCGTTTAGATTTAGCTTTCAGCCTTGTATACGGTATCCAGCTGCCGTTTCAATAGGAATTCCCAAGCGGAAAATATACAGTGAGAAAAAATTGTTTTCAGCTATAAAAATTTTTCCAGAAATGGAAAATTGTGTGAAAATGAAAAATTTTCCATTTTTTGTAAAAAATTTCCGTGGTCTATTTCAGTTATCTGCATCAAATGTAGCTGCAGCAAACGGTATGGCCCCAGCGATGGCACAACAACAGCGCAATATCTTCTATCATGAACACGGCAGCCATCATAATAACAGTAATAATAGCAGTAGCCAGAGCCAGGTAGCAGCTAATCAATCGATACCACAACTCAACGGATCAATTGGAGGAGGTTCGATTTATTGATTTTTTGATTGATCACTTTTGATCTTGATCTGTTATCATGCGCTGCGCCGCTCGAGATCATTACTCACTGCCAGCTGCCATATAGAGATCAGTGAAACCTGATCGTAATCGCCACATAGACAGACCAGTCAAACCATTGATTTATTGATTGATTGATCGCTCTTGATCTTGATCTCATATCATGTTCGAAATCATTGATCACTGCCAGTTGCCACATAGATCACAGTCAAGCAGTCAAACCTGCGGTTAGGCAAGTAGTTAAAGCCTAATCCTAGACCAGTAATGAAGTGTTTACTTACTCATTTATCGATATATTGATTGATTGATCACTCTTGATCTTGATCAGTTATCACGTGCTCTAGATCATTGATCACTCTTGATCCAGCTGCCACATAGATCACAGTCAAATCTCCGATCAGGCAAGTAGTTTAAGCCTAATCCTAGATCAGTAATAAAGTATTTAGTTGATCTTCATATTGTGAAGGATGTTAGTAGCTAGGCAAATGAAATGCCGGCCGCCGCCGCCGTCGTCGTCTTCGCCATAACTGAATTTCCGCCTATTCAATCAAACCAACCTCAAATGTCTTTACTTTTACTCGTTACTCTTTACTTTACTTTACTTTTAAGAGTTAAAAAGTTAAGTTTACTCTGAATTGAATCAGTTGCTGAATCATTCAAATGATTGCGATGTTCAGTTTGCAGTTGATGTGTCTCTTTACTTGAGTTGAATTCACTTCAGTTTAGTGTTTGATTCGATTTTATTCGTTTGTGACTGCTGCGAAGACATTTGGTGAATGAGGAGATGACATGTTGATTTGCTGATGTATTTAGTAGCTAGCTGGCTGGGTAGGTAGGGAGGTGGGTAAGTAGGTGGGTAAGTAAATAGGTAAGTAGATGGGTAGGTAGTTGGGTAGGTAGTTGGGTAAGTAGGTGGGTAGGTGGCTAACATTATTCATAATATTATATTTATGATGGATCAATCAATATTACTGGAGGATATTTTCAATTGCTCAAAGAATTTTTCACTTTTTAGCAGCAATTAGGCTCTAATTAGAATAGGAAGTTGAATTGAAATTAGTTGGAGGAGGTTCGATTTATTGATTTATTGATTGATTGATCAGTTTTGATCTTGATCTGTTAGCATGCGCTCGAGATTTCGAGTGTTTCATCAAATAATGCTGAATAATTTATCGTTTTTTAAACTGTGAACATGGAAATTTTTCATTATGTACCAGTTATAAACTTATGCGATCCGTATCTTAAATCTTCCTACCCGTAAGGTTTCCCGGGAGTTTTCCCGTGAAGTTCCCCGGGCTCTCAGTGTCCGCCTTAAGATGACCGCTTCCCAGCTGTCGGGTATGCTTCCCATTTCTAACTATGTGGCTTCCCAGACAGCTTTAAGGGCTTATTCCGTGTTATCCGTCTCCATCTCCGGCTCCAGCTGTCCAGTTGCCTTAAAATCAAGCAATCAACTATCATAAAACTTCCCGTAAGCGCCGGTAAAAGTTACCCGTAAGCATGGGTAACTTCTGCTCGCAAACCAACAATACTTTTGCACTCATATAATAGGAGTATATGTAGATTCACTCAAGTATACTCTACGTATTGGATGCTGCGATGCTGATTGGATAATCGGATGTTTAAGCATCCGCCGTCTTGACTAGCAGGATATCCCCCCTCGTCAACTCCTTATATTTCCATCGCCTCAAACTCTCAAAACACTCGCCTTTTAGCTTTGTCTTTATCATGAAAGTTCCCGTAAGCACGGGTAAAATTTACCCGTAAGCATGGGTAAATTCCATTCAAACCAGTACTTTTGCACCCATATAATAGGAGTATACTTAGATTCACTCACTCAAGTATATTCTACGTATCGATGCTGATTGGACAATCGGAAGGATATCCCCCTCATCAACTCCTTATATTTCCATGGCCTCAAACTCTCAAAATCTACTCTTTTGGCTTTGTCTTCTCATAAATTAAGATTATTTAATTACGAAGTAAATCAAAAGGTTTGATTTTACATTTTACACTTCGTTGGGAATTATTCACTAAATTAAATTTTCCAAAATTTGACTGATCAGGACGAAAAGGCTTAAAAGATTGCTTGATTGATATCCGCAGTCGAAAGAGAATCGCGGGATATCCGAAATCCGGGCATGATTAGGCCTAGTGATTGGTGATTGGATTTGGATTTGGATTTGGGATCGGATTAGGCTTAGGATTAGGATTAGGCTTGGGATTTGGATTAGACTTAGAAGTAAGTAAGTAAAAGTAAGAGGAAATTGTAAAAATTGAATCGGCTGATCAGAAAATTTGGAAAAAATAGTGATTTAGGTGATTTGAGCTTGATTGATATGATGTGCTTGTTCATATAGTAGATGTGGAATGAGGTGGTGAGCTGGGCCGGGAGTAGGCTCTCTTAGTGGGTGTCGACTTTGCCCAAGACTTTGAAACTTACCCGTAGGATACCCAAGGACAAGGGTAAGCCTGAGGTGTCGAAGTTTGAAATGAGCATGGGAGTGTGATTGGAAGATAGGTAGTTTGAAGCTGATATTTGAAGTTGTAGCAGCCGTTACGATAATAATGATGATAGTGTTACCCAGTGGCTGGGAAACTCAGAACTGCCCGGGAATTAATGCTACCCGAAGTTCAGGTATGAATTTGAGTACGACGAACGCATTTCACCTGGCCACA